CGGTGAAATTAGATCCCAAAGTTCATAATTATCTGATGCATGAGGTATAGTTAAAAAGTGTAACAGCAAAATATCTCAATCCATGTTTATCTTCATTACCAATAATAACACTTAATTTCAGGTTTTGGGTTCAACTTCCACGTTAACAAAATATTAACCACTAACATTTGTCTATTGAATTCAATACAATTTAGTTACTGAGTTTAATTCTGAATCTGGATTTGGCATTTATGCATTTGTTGTGATTCTGGTTTTTGCAAGTTCAGATTGATTCTGTTTTAGCATTTTAACCAATAGGGGATTTTTGGTTCTGCTAGTCTTTTAGTTCAATTAGTTGTGTTTAGGATCAACTTACATTTCATTGGTTGTGCCACAGTTTACACTCTAGGTTGTCACGCTAGTTGCTACCAACCTTTGTTATAACTTGTGATTTTGAGATTTCAACTTAGTTTTAAATATTGCATTGCCTTTCTAGTCTTATCTTAATATTGTAGACTTGTTTGAACCATTGCATCTGTACTTCATCTCCATTCATAAGTTTGCATCTAGCAACCAGTATAACAGATCAAATTCAAACAAATATAGTGAGGTTTCCAAGGGGTGGTTATGTTCATAGCTTCCCTTCTCAGATAGTTCAGAAAGTGGTTCTAAAACACAGTGATGTGGCGGATAGCAAAAACGATTCAACACTTTTAAAATTGATTCAAGAATAAGATTTTTCTAAATAAGATTTACAAGTATGTATAAGTAAGAGAACTGACAGCACTGTCATTAAATAATGTGTTCATTTACAGCACTGTCTTTAAGATAATGTGTTTATGGAGCACTCTTAAATTCCTTCTAGAATTGACAATTTTCTCATTATCGACATAAATCAATTCAGAACATGCCAAATGATTTGTTGTGTATGTGGAAAAGGAACTTGGGAGCAGACATAGCCATTGATTATACAAAGGGGCTGCTTGAAGAGCTGGAAGAAAAGTTTGATGTAGTGTACGATACAGTAGGTGAGATATTGAAACTCTGAACCTATATTTTTGTTGTGTACAATTAATATGCTGCAACAATATACAGATAGACCAAAAAATAATATTGTATAAATTATTGCATTTGTATCAGATTTTCTATAATAACATTATTGAAAACTTGTGTATGGTTGATTCTAAAATCAGGGCAGAGTGAGATTGATAGAGCATTGAAGGCTGTTAAATAAAATGGGAAAGTTGTGACAGTAGCAGCACATAGAAGTTCTTCAGCTATCTTCGTAATTGAAATTATGTTTGTCACTGTTGGGAATTGATCACCAAGGAAGAGGCTGTGCAGGTGATGAATTGAAATTATGTATACTGTTGAGCTTGATAATTATCGACGAATTTGATATCGTCCATAAAAAATTATCTGTAATTCACGTTTTTCTTATAATGTATCCAATTTAAATGTTTTTGTAACATTTTTTATAACGAAAGATCAATCAGCCCGCATAATTCATCTCGCATGGTATACTTTACATCGTCATTCCTAATTTGCACACACAGATTTCAATATTTAAAAATATTAAAATGAAATAAAATTATTTTAAATCTCGATGAGAAAAGATAATTTATTATAAATTTTAAACATATTTAAATCAGAGGGGATGATATCTTTTACATTCCTAAAGTAAATAAAAACTTATACTTCATAACTTGAAAAAATACATATTCTAATTAGATTTCTTTTATTTTTTAAAATTAAAACACCAATATGTGTTATTATATTATTGAAATAGGTGTCATGTAATAGTTTTGGGTGAGTCTCAAACCATAATTTTTCTAAAGGAAAACATCTTTTAATTGTACTCCAAAAGTAAAATCAAGAGTTTGAGAGAGATATTTTTATGTGATAGATGCGTAAATATCAACTTCCAAGTACTTGCAAATACAAGAAAACTTCAGATGAATTATGCCATTCATGGTTTTAGGGCCAAGGAATACAATATGAATTTGGTTTCCCCTGTTGAATAGTATAACTCACTCATTAGTATTTCCAACTATAACCAACTCATTCTAATTACTCCTCATATAATGAATTAAACAAGTGAAGCCATACTAAAACTGATCATGTACCTGTTTAATGTTCAAACTGTAATGTTTCAGAGAAATAATTAAGAATAAACTTCTCTAATACATTCGTGGCTTATCACTCTTCATCAAAGGGTTATATTAACTGTAATTAACCTTGTGAAAGAGCTTATGGCTATTAACCAGAGTGAAAGCATATAATAGCAAGGAAAAATATATCTTGGGAAATCAATATGAACAACTAAACCAGTAGCTGAATAGAATAATTTAATCATACATCGTTGTTATTTATTAACATATATTAAATCAGTTCAAAGCAATATTAATCTATAAACTACAATCTAGAGCATTAAAGAAATATACATATGGTTTGAAATTATGCATTATCAGCAGCAGGGTCAAGTTGATAGAGTGCAGATTCTGAAACACGTTTCTTGTACTTGGCAATGAAAGCTTCGGCTTTCATGTCAATATTTGGCTCAGCAACACCCCAGTTACCTTTTTCATAATCACTTGGCCACACCCTGCGGCTGGAATCAGTTGCATCATAGTATCTTCCTCTGGTCTTCTTAGATGAGAAGACGTTGAAAATAGAGAAGAAAGTGGAAGAAGACTTCTTCTGCCTATTACCTGCCATCACTGTGGTGTTGTTTTGGATAACAATGACTGCAATAATCACTGTGAAGACAATGAACTTTGGAGAACTCTTATTGTCTTGGTTTTCAATGCAGAGGTAACACAACTCATTTATACCAGAGGGAGGCTTCAGATCCATGACTTGTGAATAGTGAAAGAATCTGATAAAGGGTTCAAACGGTGCTGATTTGGCAATGTAATAATATGACATTTTGTTTTGTAACATCCTTGTCGAGGCACATTTGTTGTGCTCCGCTAGTTTGTACTTGACTTAAACAAGCTTTGTGGAAAGTTCCATGATAACGCACGATTGTTGGCTCTGCTTTTTGTACTTTTTTTCTTTTATGAAGATTCACGTTATTAGTGGTACTTTTTCACTGCAAATCTAAGCACCTAACTAAGTGCTCCATTGTACTTGTAATAATTTTACCAACTTGAATGCATCTGTTTATTCTGACATGATTAATATGGTGAGTTTAAACAAATGGGATAAAATGATTTACATAGCTAACTGTGATTTTTTATATGTTCAAAGAGAAATAGATTAGTGAATTTGCATGGACCACTGAACACCCTCTCATTCCTTCTATAGCCATATTCTTTTACCGAAGCCTTTATTATATAATCACGCTTTAGTCGTATGCGACAGACAGCTCTACTGCAAAAAGACCATCAGTAAAATTTATTCAGAAATCTCATACAGTGAATTCACAATAAAACCAAGCAAACATGTGTATGTATATAATATAATATATAATACGTTAAGGGTTAATGTCATGAAGCAAGTTTTATCTTCAAAGAGTGGAATTGCTAGGAATAGAAATTGTCCAGGTAGAATACACTTTTGGTTGGCCTGCTATGACTTTCAGTGTATAAGTAAAGATGGAGTCTGATTTATTTATTTGTTATAGAAGCTTTTTTCTAGTATTTCAGTAAAGATTTCTGAAATTTTATCTTCTTACTTAGGAGTGTGTTTAAAAACCTATTTATGAATAATGATATTTAATGTATTAAAAATTATGTCTTTATTCTCCAAGTGGCTTTTTTTAAATATTTGAATCAAGGTATTAATATAAAAAAAAATAGGGTTAAATATATTTTTAGTCCCTAAACTATTAGCCGTTTCTGGTTTTCGTCCCTCTTTCAAAGTAAGGTACAATTTGGTCCTCATTCTTTTCGAAACGTTCGTTTTAGTCCTCGGAATTTTGGTTTTAGTCCTCATTTGTTGTTAAATGAGGACTAAATTTTTAAACAATGTATAATTTTCGAGGACTAAAACGAACGTTTCGAAAAGAATGAAGACCAAATTGTACCATACTTTGAAAGAGGGACGAAAACCAGAAACGACCAATAGTTTAGGGACTAAAAACATATTTAACCAAAAAATATATATGCAATTTGTTTATAATTTTAAGAATAAAATCAATGTAATTTTGTTAATATTAATTTATGCATTAATATATATCAGAATTATTTCTTTAACGTATTATTTATAATTATTAATATTATGATACGTTAGTTTAAATTACATTCTTAAATTTTTAAAATTAAAAAAAAATTATTTAAAGTTTCAAATGTTCTATCTTTTTAATTCTTTTAGTACCCAATATTATATTTTTCAAGTTGGACATCTTCATTAATATTGAATGTCAAGGATAAATATGCAATTAAGTAACCTTTATTGTTTGTATTATTTACTTTGTCGTAATTAATTTTTTTAATGTTAATATTATTCTTTAATTTCAACTCATATTTGTTCTTTATTTAATTAGAAATTTCAACTCATAACCTAGTTAATAGTTATACAATTCAATTTAAACAAAAATTCAGTTCTCCATCAAAATATATAAACAAAAACTTTAAAAATCCATAAATTAAAAAATACCCAAAAATAAATTAAACAAAAGAAACATAATTCTAATCATAATATAAATTTAACAAAGTAAAATAAAAACATCATCAACACAAAAATATAGAAAGAAAAACATAGTAACCAAAAATAAGAATAAAATTAGGTTTAATCATTCACTAAGTCCCTATTTTCGCATGGAATCTCAATTTCGTCTTTTTCTTTCTGAAAATATTAATTGGGTCCCAATTTTATGAAAATTGCAACAAATCGATCCTTTCCGTTAAATATTGTCAAACGGCGTTACGGTGTGTTTGACGTGGCACGCTGCGTTGGACGTGTTATCTGACGTGGCACGTTGTTGACCCTAATCCACCACATCCTCCCCGACTTCCTCCCCTCCTCCACTCCTCCTCCCTCCCCTACCAGCTCACCGCCCCCACCCCTCTGAAACAAACAGAAAAATGCAATTTTCCTATTCCATGTTTTTCCCCTCAAAATCCAACTTCTCTCCTGTTCGCCCCACCCTCCCTCCGGTTCGCTGCGGCATCCGCGAGCTCCGCCAACGAATCCACACTGTCCAGACCACGCAAAAGATCACCGAAGCTATGAAGCTCGTTGCCGCCGCTAGGGTCCGTCGCGCTCAGGAGGCCGTCGTCAACGGCCGCCCCTTCGCCTCAAACCTCGCAGAAATGCTGAACGACATCACCCAGCGCCTAAAAAGCGACGACGTTTCCACCCCCGTCACTGATGCCAGACCCGTCAAGACCGTCGCCCTTGTCGTTTTCACCGGCGACCGCGGCCTCTGCGGCGGTTTCAACAAATGGGTAATAAAAAAAGCCGTCACCCGAATCGAGGAGCTGAAGAAACTCAATCTGGGGGAGGTTTATGATGTGAAAGATGATGTTTTTAGGTTGAGTTCTAAGGAGGGGAAGCTGGCTGTGGAGAGGGATGTTGTGAGGTTGAGGAAAGAGGGTGAGGTGTTTTCCCCTCTTATGGAGTTTGAACAGGATCCTGTTCTCATTCTTGATGCCATGTTACCTCTTTATTTGAATAGTCAGATTTTGAGGGCGTTGCAGGAGTCTGTAGCTAGTGAGCTTGCTGCAAGGATGGGGGCCATGGCTTCTGCCACCGATAACGCTGTTGAATTGAGTAAAAGACTTTCGGTTGAATACAACCGGGAGCGGCAGGCGAAGATCACAGGGGAGTTGCTGGAGATTGTGGCTGGAGCCGAGGCTCTTACACCAATTGACTTATGAATGTCGGGGAGGATGTGGTGGATTAGGGTCAACAACCAACCACGTCAGATAACACCTCCAACGTAGCGTGCCACGTCAAACACACCGTAACGCCGTTTGACATTATTTAACGGAAAGGATCGATTTGTTGCAATTTTCATAAAATTGTTATCCAATTGATATTTTCAGAAAGAAAGGGACGAAATTGAGATTCCATGCGAAAATAGAGACGTAGTGAATGATTAAACCATAAAATTATTGATACACACGGAAAGAAAATAGAAATCAAAATTGATTATGATAAAATAAAGATAACTAATATTCCTTTTTCTTAAAATAAAACTATAATTTATTAAAAACATGTTCTAATTTATTAAATATCATTTTAATATCAATAAAAATTGACAGACGAATAATAATTTAATTAAATTTTATTTTCAAATATAAAGTTATAATTAATTTAATAATGATATATTAATACTAAAACAAATTTGAAGCATTTTTTTTCTTAAACATAATTTTATATTTAATTTAATAGAGGTAAATTAGTATTAAAAAAATTGGAAACTTTTTTCTTAAACATAATTTTATAATTAAGTTAATAGAATAATACTAATACTAAGAATGTTTTGAAGCTTTTTTTTTAGGTTTAAAAGGAGTATTTTATCTGTTTCACCCTTAACCGGTTCAAATGTTATATCACTTTGGTTATTTGCTAAAAGAGGAGGTTGAACAACTAGACATACATAATATAGATGGTAAACACACTTAAAAACCAGTTTTTTATTTCATTAAATTTAAGAACTACAATAACACGTGACAAATTCAAAGATGAAAAGCATTAGCGCTTAGCTTATCTAAAACATGAATCCAAATAGCATACTTAACCCCCTATTTTTCTTCTCGTACATTCTAGTAAATTTTAAAATATTCATTCAATATCATTCTTTTCTAAAAATATATAGAAGTAATGTATACTAGCAGAATATATTATTGTACTAGTATAGATTACTAGTAAGGGAATAATATAAAAGTAGGGCCTAAAAGAAGGGAGAGGAAAGGACAATATGGAAATTGTGATTAACATGAAATAAAGAGATTATTAAGAAGAAAGATGTGAGAGGTAGGCATTGTAACTTAGAAGAAACCAGAAACACTCGATGGAAGTCTGTACTATATTATGTAGGATTCCAAGAGCTGGCATTCACTTTACTCTTCACGTATATTGGTCGTTAATAACTTATTGCCATACAATTAATAAAGAATTTTTAAATGCAGATGTACCAAGTGTCATGTCAGTACATCATAAATATATACATCAACTTAACAAAAAATAGAGATAAATAAATGAACAATCATATATACATCAAGAAGGTTATGCATTATATTTGAAGGATCAAAACAAGTGAATGCGATGCTACTCTGAGAAAGTTTTAATTGTTTTTAGCTTCTAAAAGGGACAGCGAAACGAGTAATTCGACAATAGTAACGTAGTTTCTCAGAATTATAGGTACATTGGAAGGAAGGAAACTTAGTACAATATAAAAACAATTTTCTCTGAATACTTTGGTTCTGTTATGTTGGAAGAAAAACTTTATTCACAATTAAGTCATTATTTGGTGTTTCGGAAGCTTAGTGTGGTTAGCACACAACACGATTGATGAGTACAATAGTGGTTTGAACCAGCGCCTCTCGAACAGTGGAAAAAGCTAACGCTTATGAATTTGAAAGTCTATATCACATATGTGCATTGGACAGACACAAACCTTCAAGTTCGATTTGCAAAGGTTATTCGTGTTTACATTAATACTCTTTGTGTTTCACATCCTGTAATCGATATGGTATGGAATAACTCAAACAAATTCACAGCAAATGTCTACCACAGACAATAACAGAGAAATCAGCAAAAGAAGCAACTGGAAGGTAGGGGAAGGAAAACAAGGGAAAATTACGCCAAAAAATAACGTAGTTAGTTCAATTAAAAGTTAACGAATTGCAGTCATAAAAGTTTACCATGAAAACAGATATTACACCACCAACTTTCTCTTCGAAATCCCAACACGATAACTACTTAATTACACGTACCACAGTTTTGTCTAAACATATTAAGGGTATGGGCAAGGGATCAACTGAATAATGTTACACTGATCTTAGGATGTCTCAACCGTTATCCGCCTTGATAAAGACCTTCTCTTCATTGCAGTTCTCAAATAAAACAGTATAACAAAAGAAACGATTTATCTGAATATTTTACGTTGGAAGCAAAATTAACATTCACCAATCAACATTTTTGGTGTTTTGGCAGTTGTTGCAGAACTATGTTAGATGCAGAAGACGTGAAGAAGAAAAAAGTTAGAGGACGAGATGTGTAGTGGTATGAGACAGTAAAATATGTTCCATTGGAAGAAAGGCAAACTCTGAATTAACGAAGTGGAAGTTTATTGATAAGAAGATAAATATTGTGGAATTCACGTATGATAATCAATAGCTAATTACAGTAGAGGCAGAAAGAAATTATTTAAATGGAGGAGAGTGAGATTTTGGTTTCTACTGCTGGACTTGAGCTTGGCAGTGAACTTCTGACTCAGAAATTCGTTTCTTGTATTGAGCAATGAAAGCTGTGGCTCGCATGTCAATGACAGGATCAGCGACCCCCCAGCGACCTCTGTCCTCGTCACTGGGCCAGACTCTGGTCCATTGTTTGGGTCCATCGTCGTAAGCATCATAATGCCCCCCTCTTTGCCTACTGCTAGATTTGAAGATGCTGAAGACAGATTTGAAGGAGGAAGACTTCCTTTGCCTGTTGCCAGCCATGGGTGGTGCAAACAGTAGAGAGAGTAGTGAGTGGGAAAGAATTGAAGAATTGTCTTGTGTACCAACTTGCAGGCTAGGGGTCTCTATTTATATAGTACCACTAGACTTCCTTTCTTAAGCTAAGGCAAGAGAATCTGATTCAAACCAGGGGTAAGCCCCATTATTCATGGTCCAAACATCCTCACATGGGACAGTAAACAATTATTTAACGTTTCGGCAGGGCACATCTTCTGTGCTCCAGTGCTTTGCTTTCTTGCTTGACCCGAACTCATGTGATTGGTTTTGTTTTTGTTTTTACCGGATTTAGTTCAGTAATCTCCTACATGGACTAAAATGATTCAAAATTATTATGACTTTGTTGTAATAATATAGTACAGTTTTGGTTCTGTCCTTCTTCGGTGATGCACAATTTTTTGGCTCTTAGCTTTGGTTTCACGTTAAGGTTTTCTTTTACTGTTTTGGTTTGTCTTGTGATTAACAAACATTTAAAACCTCTCCATAAAAATCATGATATCTAATCCGTAACTCGTGAAATAAATCATATCAAAGTGTTCAAACCTATTCCATTGATTTTTTAATCAATGGTTATAAATTACACTTTATACTCTACACCCTATCATCAGTCACACTGGAGGAACTAAATCCAAGTTTAATTATAGCCCAAGGAGAACATTCTCACAGCTAGGTAAAGAGCATATTGCATAATAAATATTTGTTAAAGGTTGTAACATTCTTACAAAACTGCATGGTGACTGTTCATGATGGCACTGCTAGGATAAAATGATCGGTAAGATGCATTTGTTATACCTTTCGCATTAAAATAGACAAGGCTAAAGAAAACAATATTAATTTAGTGTGAAGAATAAGATTAATGGGTTATTAACTAAATGAAGAATGAAGAAAGGTGGTCAAAAAACTGCTTTATTGATATGGTTCATGCATATCACAGGATAGTATGGTTTAGGAGTTTTTGAAATTTTTAATGAAACAGATAAAGGTTATTTAAAAAAATAGAACAAAAGTTGCTTCCCCTTTTCTTCTAAGTTATTCTCTTCTCCAGGAAAAGTCCTCAGTGGCCACAAACCAGTGGCTGCCACCTGCAGAAAAGGTTCATAAATATATTGATGTGCATTTACTAAACTACAACTGTTACAAGTTTTTACTTGTGGAACACCAAAACCCAAACAAGCAGTAACTTAGAATTTTAATTTTTGTTTTTCTTCTATCACTGCTTCTTGCAAGTTGCCTAGTTTGGGAATCTAAAAAAATATCTGGTTTTAAATATTTGTTAAGGGCCAGAGTTTGGTATACCCAATTTGCACTCTTAGACACGGATCTCTAAATATTATATTTATATTCTTTTTTTGAATTAGAACTGTTATTTTAAGCCATTATGATTATGCTCCTTTGCTGTAATCACATTTAAGCTTCAAAAGCTGCGTACAACAGAAGAATAACGTTTTGTTTTCTGCTTCATACTTAAATCACAAGCTTTGCATATTTCTAGAACAATGATAGTAAATACCCTCAACCAAGTATAGTTAGTTTTGGAAAATGGTAATAGAGTTGGATGGAATATATTTACAGATGGGAACATGTATAATGAAAATATTTGAATTTACCTCATTTTAATTGATTTGGATTCAAAATAAATATTACTTTTATGTTTATTAATTTTATGTTGTTGAAAATAGATGGTTTAATGTCTCGGTAGGTCCCTATTTTCGGCGTGAATCTCAAATAGGTCCCTTTTCTTTTCGGCGTCTCAATTGGGTCCCCATTTTTGTAAAATTGTAACAATTAGGGGTCTGCCGTCAAATTGAACAAACGGCCGTTTAATTGTTTGTTACGTGGCATGAACAGTGTTTTCAGTAATCACACGTGGCATGATTCCCATCTGACACGTAAGAAACAATTAAACGGCCGTTTGTCCAATTTGACGTCAGACCCCTAATTGTTACAATTTTACAAAAATGGGGACCCAATTGAGACGCCGAAAAGAAAAGGGACCTATTTGAGATTCACGCCGAAAATAGGGACCTACCGAGACATTAAACCAAAATAGAAATATTCAATCTCTTTGGTAGAAGGCAATAATGAAAGGAGGAAAGAGAAGCAGGATTCGATGAAAGCAGTGAGTCTTACTACTGAGACCTGAGACACTTTTGTATGATGGATACATCTTATATTCTCCACTCTTTAACCTT